ACTCCCTAGGCGATTCTAATGTGCCAGCAAGCTTGAGAACCGTGGGTCATGGCATAGAGGATGTATCAAGCATTTCAGTGCATGTAAAGTGCACAGATTACCTGGCACACGGATAGAACAGACACAGAAAACATGACTGTTTTTGTTGTTACTATCGGCGCAGGGCTGAAACCCAGACCAAACAGAGAATACATAAACAACTAGACTGTCTCAGCACTCGGAGAGTGGCCATAGCCGACCAAAGACCCGGTCCAGGTCTCTCGGTGCTGGGAGCAGTTATTCACTCATGAACTGTGTTTCTCTTTCTGCTTAGGTAATTAACACTGGGAAGGGGGACATTTGGCGTCTGTCTTCCAAAAGGTTCAGTGTGACCCTGACTCCTGAAATAAGAAAGGCAGGCTTGCGAAAATGGAATGTTTATGTGTTAACACCTCCAAATCTTGAAAGAAGCTTTAAAAGAAATAAATAATGAGCCTTAGGAATGATTTAAGAGGAAGTGCAACGGCCAATTATTCTTCCCCCACAAGGACATTGGTGCCAATCAATTTGCACTGAGCACCTCTCAGTGCAGGTTCCCATTGGAAGACCCAGTGTGTGATACGGTACAAAATGCAAGAGCTAAACGTTTCAAACAAGGAGCTTATAATACGTATTTATTTGTAATGTATAAACACTTTTAATGAGAGTAAAATTCATTTCCTATGCAGATATGAAAACTTATTTTTAGAGTTGTAGAAAGTCTATTTACTTACTATAACAGATTTCTATCCACTTTGTTACTTGTTGCCCATGTACCACTGCATCGAACATGATTGTATCAAAACATTTCAGTGGGCTTTTCATCCTCTTTCCTTAAAAAAAGAAATATCTACATGAAAATAAAAGCCTCCTTTTTCTCTTCAGTCTTTACTATTTTAGTTTCCAATCTGTCTTCGTAAGTTGAATTTGCCAAATTGTTTTAGAATAGGCTGAAAAATCACCCTCAATTTCCTTTGTATTTTATGTATATGTTCACTGAAAAACGATCGTGACAAAGTATCGTAGTAGTAGAATCTGGTGCTCATTTTACTCAGTCTTGTTGCAAGATGACGCTGTTGTCCTCAGTCATTTGGGGAGCATAGTATACACTGGACATGTAATTCAAGATTTTTCTTACAATTCATTGAACTTTGGTTTGAGCCGTCACAGGATGGCCAAGCTGGAAATATTACACAGTAGCTCAGTCCCTCCAAGTGGAAAAGTACACAAAGTCTCAATACATGCCACTGCAATAGCTTTTTGGCTCCAGTTCAGAAAGCAGGCTTGCCAGACCCCCGGTGCCTCTTCTCAAGTACAAAAATGGAACCTCTTCATGTGGACACAGTTCCTTTGGCTTATTTGCATTGGCAGTTCTGCTGGTGATGACTTGGACTCACGAGAGCTGTGAAAGGTGACACTTTAGAGGCTTACTTTGTAAGTGATCTTTTTCAACTTAATTATCCCAGTAGCTCTTTTCTATAAATTAACTGCTAAGGTAAAACCTGGACAGTTGAGTTTCCATAGTCACTCAGGAATTCATTCGCTCATTTGTTTACTTAATTCATTCAGACAAGAGTTTACTGAATGTCTGGAGCCTGGCACTGTGTTAAGCTCAGGAGGGGACAGCACAGTAGAAAGAGTTCTGACAAAGGTCTTGGGAGAATCCTCTTATTGCTTGGGCGGCCGGGCCATGTGACTTGGTGCCCTGCCTACGGGGAATTACACATTCCCAGATGTCACCATGTGATTTGCTTTGACCCATGAAATGCGCAAACACGACATGCATTTTTTTTATCTGGAAGTTTTTAAGAACCAAGTCTTGGTCAGTCATCTCTCCTTCTGCCTTCCCTCTTTTTTTGGTGCCCAACAACGTCCCCAGTGTGGGCTGCACCTTCCATTTAGGCCTGGAGTGAGGCAGGGAGGAGGGGCTGGGAGCAGACCCCCGAGGGCCCCGGGGCCACTCCTGAGATTCGGGACTTCCTTGGTAGCGCAGACCCCCAGCCCGCGCTGACCCACGCAGTGTGCTCTTGCTGCAGGTGCGCAGTGTAACTCAGCGTTCGGCTCTCGGGGTGCAGTCTGAAGGCTCACTCCCCGGCCCCCTCCCAGCCTGTTCAGGACCCATCAGAGCCTGCGTCATCCATTCAGCCAGGTCCTCTTCCTTTTTTAAACTTTCCCAAGCGAAACATGGCTCCGGCTTTCTTCCATTACTCACACAAGGTTGCTGCTGCTCAGAGGGAGGAGCCGGGGGGAATGTGGGAGAGAAAGGGGACACGAGAGCCGGGGAAGTAAGAGTGGAGGGGGGACAAGCTGAGGGAGTTGCTTCAGGGGCTGCATCTGCAGGGACTGCTGCTCGCGTCTCGCCCCAGATGTCACAGCCTACAGCTGCTTCCAATCATTCGATGCACGCATTTCCTGTCCAAGCCGAATAATAAAAAAGAAGAGACACACACCACCAGAACCCTCATCTCCATCTCCCTTCTCTTCTAAAGCTCCGTATTTATAGGCCTTTAAACAAATGCATTCAGAAAGATGTAGGTTTTTTTTTTTTGGTTGTTCTTGTTGGTTTTTTTTTTGTTTGTTTTTTTAATTTGGAAAAACAGAATGCTTTTGAGAAATGATTTTATTTCCTGGAAAAAAAAAAAAAAAGAGCTTCTCCTGGACTCAGAAGTGACTCCCGAATTGGTGGTGTAATTGTTCCATCAGCCGTGGGTGTTGGCCTCAGGACTCAGTGGGTGTTGGCCTCAGGACTCAGTGGGTGTTGGCCTCAGGACTCCGAGCCGGTGCCTGAACTGCGTTCTGACCTCGTCTCCAGGGGGAGGGAGGGACCGGGGAGCGCTGGAGGGAGGGAAGCCTGTGGCCAAGGCTCTCTGGTGTTAACCTCGGCTTATCCTTGAGCCCATTGACTTGGTTAACGGTATCACTTCAATCATTCTACAAATATTTATTAAGCACCTTCTACACGCCAAGCTCTTTCTAGATGCTGGCCGTCAGGGATTTTCTGATTTCTCTCTGGCATTTCAATGAACACATAAAGCACTCTACCGCTTTTTTTTTTTTTTTTTTTAAATGATCTTCTCAAGATTATATTGAGGATCCTTGAGAATCCAATGCATCTTTAGATGATCACCAACCTGCTTCGGGTGGTACCTCAAGTTGAGTTTCCAAGGGAACGAATTCTGATACTGAACTTCCCATGCACAAAGTTTATTGGGGAAAGTGTCTGCAGTAACATCTGTGAGAATGGGAGGGATGTAGGATTGGACAGAGGGAGAAGCTGGGCTGCGATGTAGCAGCTGCAGAGGCTCAGCCGGCCCCACTGGAGCTGAGGAACTGAGGAGCTGGGATGGCTTTCTGTTATTCCACTTTGGGGTAAGAGGCTTTCTGTTTTCCTCCTTCCCAAGATGTGCCAGTCGTTGTCTGTGGGCAGCTCCTGGGAAGGGAAGAGATCTTTGGGAGAGGCTTCTTTTGCTGGAGGGCAATTCCACAGTTCCACGTGGGTCAGGAGCCATCACTTCCGGCAGCTGGCCGGTGAGTGTCTCCACCCAGGGCCCCCTAGGCAGCCCATCGCAGCAACTACTGCAGATGGGTGCAAGGCAGGACCCCACTTCCCACCATCTCCCAAAAGATCTGCCAGAGTCTGACATGTGGGTTCGTAGAACTTGTTTGTTTTCAGCTCTCACGTTCGCACTCTGTATCATTCCCTGGGGTTCTCATTTTCCTCACTGGGAAACCAGCTGTCATATAAAAAACTATTGGTTTTCTGAATTTGCTTGGAGGAGGATAATATCTTCCTGAGGAAATGTGCCTGTACTAATGCTTCAAAAAAAATGATGTTTATGTCTAGATGATAGCACTGTAGGGGTTACAAACTCCACGTGCCTGTTGGTCATCCTTTCCAGAAATGCCGTGTTAACCAGGCAGGTGTATCACAGAAGCAGCAGTGAGACAGAGGCAAGTGAAAGGTTGTGTCCGAGGTGCACTGAGTACTGTATGCAGGATTTGAGCCCAGCCTGGGCACTTTTCACTGCAGTGGCTAGCCACGAAATTCCAGGTGTTCAGCAGGTAGGTAGGGAGGGGAGAGATTTCAGGGGCAGGAGACTGCTTCTGCCTAAAGCCAAACCTTGATCTTGTTTTTAGGTTTCAATGTTACTGAGGGACAAGGGCACTGTCTAAGTTAAGTGGGTTTGCTTTCTTCTTCCTTATTCTTTGGGAAGGAAGGTCTGTATTCAATTCTTACTAACAATAAGAACTTTGGATCATTGAAAAGAAAGTGTTTGTTGATGGACTGATTGGATTGATCCATGTAATAAAAATTTATTGATTAAAGATTTTGTGCCCTGCAGAGTGCCAAGAACTAAATACAAAATGGTCTGTTTTACCTCTCCCATTTGAGTTTCTCATTCAGTGGTCTGCTTGAAAAAATCATAGAAGAAAACCGGTAGCACCAAACAGTCTTATAAGTAGAAATTACTTGAGAATACATCTCACCGGTTTCTTTTTCTTCCTCTGAAGGATTTGTACTAAGGGATAAGATTGGGTAGACAGATGTGGGAATATCTGAACATCTCACATTCAGTTTGTCATGAAATCCAATCTCCTAAAACATAAAGGTAGCTGAAATTTTTCCAAATGAGTATATGTCATGTGATATTTTAGACGAATTTCAGTAGAACTTGATATGTGCACGGAGATCACAAAGGGACATGTATGGGACATAAATCACCAGTTATGCGTTTAGGTATTTGGTATTTCTTTAATGTATGATGGGGTTGGGCATTTGTAGACTGACATTATATGCCATCAAAATAAAAACAGAATCAAAATTAAAATATTGACTCTAACTCTTCCGTGTCTCAGTGGATAAAACCTTGCTTCTTTGTTCAGGACTCAGGACATTTATGTCAAGCTAGCGAATCTTGTCACATTGAACTAATCCTGGGAATCAAAACTTCTAGTAAGTGCTTCTCTTGGGAGCTTTGCAGGTAAAAAAAAAAAAAAAAAAAAAAAGGGTTTCGAAGGAGCCAAATCACCTCTGCAGCACCCATAATGCTTAGTATAAGATATGAGGTCTATATAGATCCAAGATGAAATATTTTCATTCACTTGAATTCATGGGCGCTTATCAAGAGGAAAGGGAAGACAGAACAAACATCTGGAGGGACTTCATGCCAGGAAGAGGGGCAAGTGTGGGCATGAGCTTTTAGAAGGTGACAGGGACTCCAGAGCAGGAAATGGAAGATGAGTAACAGCACCCCATGCCAGCGAGAGAGGTACCTGGGGGGAAGAGCTGCTGTATGATGAGAAGTTTGGGGGCAAGGGAGAGATGTTTAGAGTGGATTTTTATAATGTTTTAATGTGTTGTGTCTCCTCCATAAAATCTACCGCAAAGTGCAGTGTTACTTTGTAAGGATTTTTGATGACGGAATGGAAGTGGACTAATGACTGTCTCTCCAGTCAGAGGCACGCCGGAAGGAAAGCCTGGGATTGGTGCTCATTAGAGAAGAAATATCAGCACATCAATGGGTTTACGTGGTCACTTCAAGGCTGGGGATGTGGGTTTTGTAACCCAAGAACATGCCAAGGATCGAGGAGTTGGAGCCAGTAATCTAATCCCCTCCGTTTATTGATGAGAAAACTGAGGGGCAGAAAAGGTAGCTTCCCTGTTACCTGCTATCTGCTGCCTGCCCCACAGCTAGACTGACTGGTGCAAAGCTGGAACAGAACTCAGAATCCTGCAATCCTGACTGTTCTCCTCTAGTGTCTTTTCTCCTATCCATTGTGCACACATTGGTCTTTGAAAAATTTAGCCTAGGAAGTTTCTTCTCTATGTAACTATGAGAAGAGTGATTTTTATTTTATATATATTCCTGATATATTATGAAGTTATTTGCTTGCCGAAGAAATCTTGAAAATTCAAATTACAAAGAATGCCTTGCACAGAAAATCGGCGGATTATCAAGGCCTAAAATTCCTCCTTCATTCTTCTTTTACGTCATCTCAGAATGCTTGCCTTTGATGTTCTGAGATACCATTGCATATTTATATTGCTGTATAATGGTATTTGGATACTTTGATATTTAAATTTGACCAAATACAGTTAGACTTCTATTCCTGAGGATTTAGACCCACGCAAGCATCCCAACTATGTAAACGACATTTTGTTCCGTAACTTAACCAGAATCAAGTCAGTTATTTCTAATTGGATGTGTTTATGCAGTGGAAGAGCCAGCTTGGAACTGAAGACAGCAGTGCCATGTCCTGTTCCTCTAATCTTCCAAGGGTCTCTATGACGATCTCACTGACTGTACAGCTGCACAAAGGTGAATCTAGCGGATATTTAAAGAATTTATTAAGAAACATTCTTTGGAGGAAATATGTTTTCTAACAGATAGAAGTAATCTCTAAGTCTTCAAATTGATTTTGCAGATGAGACGACAGAAGTGGTTTTAATGAATGAGATCGATGATAATAGCTCACCTTTTTATTCCTTAGAGTCACAAGTTTTAATTATGTCAACCTAGGAATGTAGATGAACTTTTTAAAATGGCAGAGCCTCGACACTTTTCCCCATCAGACAAATAATAGCAGGAAACCACAGTCTTCAAATCCTCTGTCTCCCAAGCTTCCATGGGTACAGAAATGGTAAAATTTGCCAAGTCACCTCAACTAGATCTCAGAGTCTTAGGGAAGAAGAATCTACAAATTACCTTGGCAGATTTTTCCAGATGAGGCAGATTGTAGGGCCCTTAAAAAGGGGTGCATTTTTAAGGTGGAGTCTGAATCATTCCCATAGAAAACATCTCCTTTCCATGGCACTTCCTGAGTGGTCAGAGATCTTGGGGACTTGCTGGAATGCAGGTGTGCTCTCCATTGTGGACCATGTTATGAGCAAGTGTCCAAGTCTCAGAGATATTTACTCAAAACACTAGTGAGATATAGCTTATTGCCCAATACAAGATGGAATTTTAATAATAGGTGAAAAAAGTTTATCAACTTTATTAGTAGAAAGTTTTGTGGTTGGAGACCTCATGGTTACTGCTGAATGAATTACTAAGACTAGAGATATGAAATAATTGTTGAGATGTGGACTATGTATTTGTATAGCATGCATCTCCATTCTAATTCCAAGCTGAAATCTCAGATGACGAGTCTTTGTTTTTAACTCAACAGCTCCACAAATGCAAGGGTAATTTGGAACTGCCTTTTGACCCAGCAATTCCACTGCTGGGATTATACCTTAAGAATCCTGAAATACCAATCAAAAGGACCCCAATGTTCATAGCAGCCCAATTTACAATAGCCAAATGTTGGAAGTAACCAAAGTGCCCATCAGTAAATGAGAGGTTCAAAAAACCAAGGTACATTTACACAATGGGGTACTACACGTCAGAAAGAAAGGAGTTCCTACACTTCCCAGCAGGATGAATGGATCTGGAGAGCATTATGCTAAGTGAAATAAGCCAGGCAGTGAAAGAAAAATACCATATGATCTCACCTATAAGTGGAACCTAATCTACAAAACAAGCAAGCAAAATATAACCAGAGACATTGAAATGAAGAACAGACTAAGAGCAAACTAAAGAACAGAGTAACCAGAGGGGTGGGGCAGAGGGATAATAGGGGAAAATAGAGAAAGGGTCATCGAGGAACATGTATAAAGGACACATGGCCAAAGACAAAAAGGGGTGGGATTGAGGGTAGGAGGCAAGGATGGGTGGGTATGGGAGAGTAGTGGGGGGAAAATGGACACAACTGTACTTGAACAATAATAAATAAATGAATTAATTAATTAAAAAAAGCAAAGGTAATTTCAGAGTCCATATATCCTAAGAATTATTTAGAAGATAGCCATGTGGAAGAAGACATCATAAGAGATGAGCATTTTCTCCCTCAGCAGAACATTTCTTTGTTGCCTACTCATCTCCTCTTTATCCACACCACAATTTTCATTTAAGAACTGTACTTTCTGCATTCCTAGCCCCTAGTTGGGTGGGGTTGTTACCATCTGTAGCGAACAATTGATTGACTAAAGCAAAGGGCTCCTTTCCTGCCTCCATGATTGGCATTGGGTTGAGTATGTGAAAGTCCAATTGCTTTGGAGCCTTGGCATTTTCCTTGATGGTTGAGAGTGAATGAATCTTATTCTCCCCTGCTTTCCTCTCACTCTCTTTCACCTGCAAAGTAATGAGTCCTGAGGTTTTTTTCCCAGTAAAATTATTTTTATAATGATTAGGACAGATGCTTGAAAATTTGGACACATCCTGGGATATGTTTTTTGAAATTTTTCATAGAAAATGAAAGCCTGATTCACAGTGACACATTTAGCAAGTATTTCCTTAGTGTAGCCTCCTCTGAAATTGGGGGATAGGTCAGCAGAGCTTCAAATCCAGGATTCTCCACTGAGCTTAGGGATGTTTAACATAGTCAATGTATTCTATCTCGATGCTTGGAGATCACGTGAGCTATTAGAGACGATCACAGGGTGGGTATCCAGGGACCTTCAAATTCTTTGAGGCCGAAGAGCTCTTCACCTAAGGAAGTATGTAGAGCAGTGAACCTTCTGAAAAACTTCAGACGTTAACCATCTTATTGGACTTTCTATTTCAAACTCATCTGAAAGTATGATAAGCTGACAATGGTGACTGTAAGTTTAAACAAGAGGAAATCTCACCATCTTGGTTTCTTCCCTATACACAGTGCCATGTACAAGATTTTCAGAGTTCATAGTGTGTATCCTTTGGTTGAGCAACACAACAGAATCTGTATGTACAAAGCTTTGACCACTGAAATCCCCGTCTCTCTTTTATTGGCTATCCAGCCTTGTATGCCAGCTAACTAGGCTTATAATTCCTTGTTAAAAAAGCTGAGTGGGTCTCATTGTACCCAGAGGCAGTGAATTCCTTGGTCCTAACGCCTCATAGAAAAACTTTCCTAGAACTATTCCCCATCCCTGTCTATCATGAAGCTATGGTCGACTTTTAACTATAGACATGTATGCCTTGTGACTAACAAGCCAATTCACAAACTTGCTGGAACCTTTGTTATAAATAAGCATCCTTTAAGGTAGGACTCTGGGAGACTTATACTTATAATCCAAAACCTGTTTCCAAACTTGAAAACACTTTCGAGTATTTCTTTTGGAATTGCCATCTTAGAACACTTGAAATAATGGTAAATTTTTATTTTTTGAGGATGGGTTTGACTGTTAGAAACCTATGTTGCACTTGGTTTTAGGTTCTAAACTGGATAATGAAACTGACTAATCTTTTTGGACAAAAGGGAGGTAATGTTATAAAAAAACAGGTTAGCGTGTGTGTGTGTGTGTGTGTGTGTGTATGTGTGATGTGTGTGCACACACATGTCTGAAGACAGTTTGAAAAGTGAAGTGTTTTAAGATAGGGCAATATCACTAGGATAAGAATACGTACCTCAAGTTTGAAGAGGACAACACCCGTTCTTATTTATTCAATTTCTTATAGCTAAAATACCAGTTTTAGCATTTCATAGATATATTCTATATATAAGAAAAGCACTGTAATTATTGGTTGATGAGATTGTTTACTTTGACTACTTCTCTTCTCTTCATTGCTTCTACATGTAAGCCTGTCTTTCCTCTGTTGGGCCCTGAGGGCAGACCCATATTATGTGTCATTTTTGTGTAGGCCCTGCTGTAGCAGGATGTGGAAATAGTTGATCAAGTTTTCTCAAAAACCATCACGAAGCATTTGCACAAGTTTTGAATTTAACTTCTAATTGTGAGTTAATTAAGATATTTAGTCATACATTTTCAATCATTTCATATTTAATTAACCTTTGGCTTCCAATTGATTCTAGTAGAGAGCCTATGTTCAGACATAGAATTACTCACATAAAGGACTTTAGACTAGTTTGTGAAATATCCCAGTTTAGAAGTTTTATATTTAGGGAAAAAAAAAGATTATAATGATCTTATCAACTTTGCAGTGCTTCTGAGCAGAGACCACACAGTTGTCAGATGT